AACAGACAGCATATCTGGCAGACAGCTCATTCTGACCAGCCAAATTGATTCAATCAGGTCTTCCAGCTGCTTCATTTCTTAGTGCTGGGCCTTTCCAACAGCAAAACCAAGCTACTTGCTGTGTGGTAATGTGGCTTATCATAGGGTTACCATACGTCCGGATTTCCCCGGACATGTCCGGCTCTTTGGAAATTCCCCCCGGACGGGGATGTGAGCACCAAAAAGCCGGACATGTCCGGGGAAATCCGGACGTATGGTAACCCTATGATAAGCCACATTACAACACAGCAACTAGATTGGTTTTGCTGTTGGAAAGGCTCAGCACTAAGAAATGAAGCAGCTGGAAGACCTGATTGAATCAATTTGGCTGGTCAGAATGAGCTGTCTGCCAGATATGCTGTCTGTTTTAAGGTCTCAAAGAATAACTCCATGCTGAGTATAGCTTGATTCTGTTTATCAGCCCCCAAGTCACATTGCACAGGAGAGAAAGTTGTTGGCCAGATTTACACTGCATTGTCCACAGATAGATGTGTGTGAATGCCAGTCCGACAGCACCTTGAAAGCGATAGCAAATTTTGTCCCTTTGGTAGGATCTATATTCTAACTAAATTCATAACCAAATTAAGTAGGATCTACTCCAGTTCTGAGAAAGAACTATGAATAGTATAACTTTGCCTGGGTCTGAAATGAGAGACCCTGTGATCTGATAGGTATTAGAGAAGGTGAATCTTTTTCTATTTCCCATTTTCTCTCCATGGGACAAACACATAGAGAAAGACTCCATGTTGCTTAGCAACCCCCTACAATGTTGAAGGAAATTAGTCAATACAATTCTGAATGAAATCTGCAACAATCCACACAAAAAAACCAACCCCCCCCCAAACCAAACCAAAACAACAACAAAACAAAAACAAAAACACTGCCCCCTGCCCAAAACTCACCACTATCTAGAGGACTTAGAGGAAAACCAACATTAGTTCTACTTTCCCTAGTTTGTTCCAAAGTCACATTAGCCTGGTGTATCACGCTGTCTAATGTGAACGATTATGGAAGTGGGGTTTTTTGAGGTGGCACGGGTGGGTCTGACGTATTCTAGGACAGTCCAAATTAATAGCCTACTTTGAATTTAAACAGAGCTGGTCATTACAAGTATTCTTTATGCATTTAGCCCCCCTTTTTGGTGAGTGAATCATTTGCAGGTCAGTCTTGATTTATGTTTATGTAGTTATTGGCTCAGCTCCTCACCTGGCATGAATAAGCACAATTTCATGGACTTCAGTCAAGCAACACCGATAACAATTGAGGAAGTGGCCCATTACTTGTAAGTACTGTATACACCAAGTCTTCATCCTAGGAGTTGCTTACCAGATATGTAAAGCAAATTATATTTGTTATTCCTGGTGTATGATTGGGTACATAAATCACATGGTATTTCTCATCCCTGATTGGGTGACTGAACACATAAAAAATGTTTACTTCAGGCTAATGTGACTTCGGGACAAAACAAGTATAATTATTCTTAATTTTCCTATAAATCCTCTTGATACATTTTTTTGTGTGTGGATTATTGCAGCTTTAATTCAAAAGGGAAGGGTAAAAAGAGGGACAATATGAGCACTCATCACAAAATTGAGATGTTGAGAACACAATCAATCAAGGAACTAAAGGACATGAAGTGACACAATGAGGGAAAGTGAAGGCAGATGCATTTGGGGTATGTGTGTAAAAAAAGAGAGGCAGCTGATAGTAATGAATATATTTCAGAAGCTAGGCATTATAGAAAGGATAAGGGAAGCAAAGGGACAAAAGGAGAAATGTATGGCCAGTAGAGTTAAGAAACAATAAAAAGGATTTTTTAAAAAAAGTTATAATGGGAATAAAATGAATCCTAACAATGGAATTGGTCCATTACTAGATGGAAATAGTAAAATCAATAATAATGCAGAAAAGGCAGATGTGTTCAATAAATATTTGTTATGTATTTGGGGGAAAAGCAGATTAGTCATGTCATATGATAACACTTTCTATTTCACTAGTATCTCAGGAGAATGTTAAACAGCAGCTACTAAAATTAGTACTTTTAAAATCAGTGAGTCCAAATAACTTGCAGCCAAGTTTTTTAAGAGAACTGGTTGAGGAACTCACTGGACCATTAATGTAGATTTCGGATACCTCTTAGAACACCAGGGAAGTTCCGGAAAACTGGAAGAAACCAAATATTGGCACAACATTTAAAAGGGTACATGGAATGACCCGGCTAATTATAGACTTGTCATTCTGACATTGATCTCGTGTAAGATAATGGAGAGGCTGATATGGGACTCTATTAATAAACAATTAAAAGGCAGGTAATATAATTAAAGCCAATCAACATGGGTTTCTGGAAAATTGATCCTGTCAAACTGATAATTTTAAAAAAATTAGATTACAGGTTTAGTTGATAAAGGCAATTGTGTTGATGTAGCACACTTAGACTTCTGTAAGGCATTTAACTTGGTACCTCAGGACATTTTGATTTAAAAGATAGAAAGGTATAAAATTAACATGGCACATATTATGTAACTGATAGGTCTCAAAAATGTAATTATACATGGGGAATCATTAAATGGGTGTGTTTCCAGTGGAATCCTTCAAGGATCTGTTCTTTGCCCTAGGTGATTTAGCATTTTTATTAATGACCTGGAATAAAATATAAAACCACTGATAAAGTTTGAAGATGACACAAAAATTTGGGAAGTAGTAAATAGTTAAGAGGATAGGTCACTGGTACAGAGCAATCTGGACCACTTGGTAAGCTGGACACAAGCAAATAATATGAGTTTTAATATGGCTAAATGTAAGTATCTAGGAACAAAGAATGTAGGCCATACTTACATGAAGGGGCATTCTATCATGGGAAACAGTGACTGAGAAAGATTTGGGGGGAGGAGAGAGTCATGGTGGATAATCAGCCTAGCAAAAGCTCCCTGTGTGATGCTGTGATGAAAAGGGCTAATGTAATCCTTGAATGCATAAATGGGCATTTCAAGTAGGAGTAGAGAGGTTATTTTACCTCTGTATCTGGCACTGGTGTGACTGCTGCTGGAATACTATGTCCAGTTCTAGTGTCCACACTTCAAGAATAATGTTGATAAATTGGAGAGGATTCAGCCAAGAGACATGAGAATGATTAAAGGATTCGATAATATAACTTTAGTGATTCAACTCCTTGAGTTTATCTATTTAGCTTAACAATAAAGGTTAAAGGGTGACATGATTACAGTTTATAAGTTACTATATGGGGAACACACATTTAATAATGGGCTTTTAAAATTTAGCAGAGAGAGGCATAAAAATGCAATGGCTGGAAGTTGAAGCCAGGGCCGGCTCCAGGCACCAGCCCACCAATCATGTGCTTGGGGCGGCACCTGGAGGGGGGGCGGCGCAGCGCGGTGCGGCGCTCTGACCACCGGGGAGAGCGGAGCCCCGGCCGGCCTCTCCGCCCTCCCCCCGGCGCTCTGGCCGCCGGGGAGAGCGGAGCCGCGGCCGGGCTCTCCGCCCTCCTCCCGTGGGGCAGCGGCGGGAGGCTTTTTTGCCTGGGGCGGCAAAAAAGCCAGAGCCGGCCCTGGTTGAAGCTGGACAAATTCACACTGGAAATGAGGTGTTATCAGTGAGGGTAAGTAAGTTTTTCCAGTCACTGAATTTTTAAGTCAAGATTTAATGTTTTTCTAAAGATATGGTCTAGGAATTATTTTGGGGATGTTCTATCACAATTGTCCCTTCTGATCTTGGAATCTAGGATGATGAATTTAGAAGGAATTTTTGGACAATCATTGGTGCAAAAATGAATGAAACATTCAGGGGTATTTGTAAAAATGCTCACAAACACCAACTGGTTTTCCAAATGCTCAAGAATAATGATTAATAGGACTTCCTCCAAATCATAGCAAGCTGAAATTGGTGCTTTTATTCATAGAATATATTCACATGCCTGTTTTTGTTTTACTGTTAAAACATTTGTTACCATAACTCAGAATTAGAGCTGGTCCGGTTGTATTTGTGAAGTGAGAATATGGAAAAAATGGCACTGGTTAGCTGTACCAATAAAACCTGATGCATTTATGACTGTTTTAACATTGCCAAGTGCAGTGGAAGGGATGACCAGTCTCAGCCTATTTCTTTAGACCAGGTTAGCTCCCTGCTTTAAAGGAAAAACAGCAGATGTGTACTCTTGCTTCTCTCTCGGCAAACTATTCAATTCAGAATCAAGGCCCAAGTTAGGTCCTGGTTCTGCATGAATGGAACTTCTTGCTCATGCAAAGAACTATTGAAACAGCTGGGGCTTGACACATGTACACAGTGATCTGAAAGAGTACCTCCTCCCGCCCAATACATTCCTTTACTGCTCCATGATCTTATATGTAGTTTTAAAAGCTACAATAGATAATGCTAATCCAGTGCGATTTCTAGATCTACACTTTCAGGACTTCACATTTCTGCATTCCTGAATGTTTGGTCTAGTGTTATGAACTGGCCTTTTAAAGATATTCATTATTTTCCCCCTTCATTGACTGTCCTGTAGCTTTAATTCAGGAGAGACAGGGATGTTTACACATTAACAACAAGTTGTGTGGATATACCAGCTTGTTATAATTCATAAACTACACACACACAGATCACTTTTCCTTGATATTAGCACAAATTTAGCTGACTTGAAAAACAAAACACTGGAGTTTGTGTGGGTTTTTTTGTAAATCATCTGAATCCCAGCCACACAAAAGAAAACTTTCTAATTGATTCTTGAGATATAAGTCAGCCAGGGAAAACATTTTATAAAAAAATCCCTAGCTTTGATTTTTCAATCTTCTGTTCTGATAATCCACCAGCAACTCCCTCCTACTCTTTTGTTTTTCCATTATATATAATATTTTGTTTTAATTAAAAAAAAATCATTAGGAAAACCTACAAAACTAGAGGTCTTGAGAGCACAACTTTGTTTTTTCCCTTTAGACTTTAGCAATTTGCTTTCTACAATATTGTGGTGTGTAAACTCCCTTACCATTTGTGTTTAATGTAGAGCAGTTCACCATACTGCATGCTAAGGAATTATGCTGGCTAAGTCTCACTTTCAGCACTATGGAAAGATTGAACATCTCAAAGCTGAACCTATATATCTTGTGGGAGCAATGGTCAGCCAGAGGATGAGAGAGTTCAAGATATTTATTAGTGTTGATCTCTGTAGCCCACCAGCAGGGCATGCTCGCTACTAGCAGTGTGATACAACATAGCTGGCATCTGATATGAAAAGCATTAAAAAAAAATTAAAAGGGAGGAGGAAGGATTCCTTTGACAGGAACAATTTGTGTTGTTGGCATATTTGGTATTACCTGTCAGTAGTTTATTTAAAATTCAGCTCAGTAACTATGGGCCCCTCAGAGGTCAGAATTTCAGAAAAATTCTGAGGGGGCAAAGTTGTGTCAGCATATAGAACATTCTATGTGATTATATCATATCCTGCAAAGTCAGGGGAGCAAAATGGAAGACATATAGGCCAATCAAAAGTCTGGGGAGGCAAACCAAGGTTGGGGGCAACTGCCCCCTTGCCCAATAAGGCCAGAGCCATCACTTGCTATCTCCACACCTGTGCAATTGAACCAGGGGATCCTCTTACAAAATACTGAAAATTTGTAGTGTGGACAGGACCATAATTATGTCCCATCCCAGGACTAAAGTCTTGGCTATGCCAAAATTCTAGCCCTTTCATGCAGTCTGGTTGCATCATGGTTAATTGCCTTCCAGATTAAGGGCCAGATCCTCAGTTGGTATAAATTGACACAGCTCCATTAGCTTCCAGTTGAAGAAGTGACCTTACAGGTCAGGGACCAATCATGCTGTAACCCAGTCAATTGTTTGGCAGGATAGGGACCTCACTGCAGGTTAAACATGTTAAGGAACACTCTAGTTTTAAGTAAAACATTTAGATGTTTAATTAAAAAAAAGAGTGCGGTCTTAGACAGGTACTTACCAAGCATAGCAAAAATGGTATTTTCATTATTTCTTTTTAAATGTTAATGAAAATGGTGAGGGGTTGAGTTAGCTTACCAACCCCCACCCACTCTAATAAAGCATTCTCCTGCCTCAGTGCTGTGAATCTAAACGGAACAGTGGTGTGTTCAATTTGTGAGAATCAGGAAGGGGAACTGGCAAAAAAACCCTGATCACTATTTGCATTATTCAAGATGAGCAGAATGGTGAAAACCAGCATTCAGAGCACAGTCCAGGTGGGAGGGGAGTTTCCCAGCAAGAGAATAAGAAGTCAGTTGGGATCTAGACAAAGGTTGTAACCTGCATCCTCTCAATTCCACGTGCCAGCAGAATCCCTCCTGCCTCTTGTCACAGCACCCTCTATCAGCTCTTCCTGTACCCATAGAAGTGATCGGACGTCTTTCTCCACCCTGTGAGATGGGGGAAGAGGTGCATGTACACAACGGGGTCAGAGAAAGCTAATGGCCTGAGATCCATTGGAAATTCTGGGTCCAGCTGCAGAGTTTCTGTCCTTCTGTGGTCTTAGGAAAGCCTCCCCTTGCAACACTGCCAGTGTGGTCGTGCTGTCTTTGGTTCCTACATAGTAGCTGTGTTCTGTAACTCCTGTAGTGAGTAGGGTTACCATATTTAAAAAATAAAAAAAGAGGACACTCCAAGGAGCCCCACCCCTTTCCCACCCCCAGACCTGCCCCAACTCCGCCCCTTCCCCAAAGTCCCCGCCCTAACTCCCCCTCCTCCCTCCCAGCCATGTGAAAAGGGCTGCCCAAGCGCTTCCGGCTTCACAGTTTG